GCCAGCAGGCCTAGGGAAGTGATCGTCCCCCTGTACTCGGCACTGGTGAGGCCGTACCTTGAGTACTGTGTTCAGTTTTGGGTGCCTTACTACAAGAAGGACATTGAGGTGCTGAAGCGTGTCCAGAGGAGGGCAATGAAGCTGGTGAAGGGTCTAGAGAACAGGTCACACGAGGAGCAGCTGAGGGAGCTGGGGTTGTTTAGCCTGGAGAAGAGAAGCCTCAGGGTAGACCTTATTGGTCTCTACAACTACCTGAAAGGAGGTTGTAGGGAGGTGGGGGTCAGTCTCTCCTCCCAAGTAAGAAGTGCTAGGATGAGAGGAAATGGCCTCAAGTTGCACCAGGGCAGGTTTAGGTTGGCTATTAGGAAAAACTTCTTCACTGAAAGGGTAGTCAGGCATTGGACCAGGCTGCCCAGGGAAGTGGTTGAGTCCCCATCCCCGGAGGTATTTAAAAGCCACGTAGATGTGGTGCTCAGGGACATGGTTTAGTGGTGGACTTGGCAGTGCTAGGTTAACGGTTGGACTTGATGATCTTAAAGGTCTTTTCCAACCTAAATGATTCTATGATTCCATGATTTCAGCTGGTTAAAAAGAAACACCTAGAGAACGTACCCCCTGCACACCTCTCATCACGGCCGGTTGGGTTCGCACCGAGGAGGAAGGACAGCACTCCCAGGGAGTACAACAATGACCTGCGTGGGGCCAGGTCTTCACCAGAGCTCAGTGCAGCCAGGGCTGGACCTTTTGGAAAATGAGCAACCCACATCAGGCTGACCAGCCTCACAGAATGCCAAGCTCTGTGCAAGCTTGCCTCTCACGGCAGGCAGCAAGAATTGACCGGGAAAGGATGTTGCCACTATGCACCATCCTCTGACAGGCTTCACACCTAGGCATGGGTGCGGGACAGCATGAGCAAGTACTCTGTGGCACACCCTTGGAAGGAGAGCAGGGGGCCAATGGCTGGACCAGCGGCATTGCTGGCCCCTGCCAGCCCACACAGGAGGAGCGAGCCGCCTGCATCTGATGGATGAAATACCAAAAGCAGGAAAGAAGGGTCCATTTCCCCCATGTCCCCAAATGGCAACACCTTTTAATGCTGTCCATTGGCACATCCCACACATGCCTGAAGATGTTTCAACATCCCCGTGTGGGCAGAGGATGGTTTAAAACCAGGACTAAGCTCCTACACATTTCTCATTTACTCCCTGCTTGTTATTTGGGTGCCAGGAACAAAATTACATGTAACCTCACTTCCTTCCAAAGGAGAAATCCCAAGCATGTGCCACACCTGCCTAGCTTTGCACTAGTGTTCAGTGGATATCATTCTCAGCAGTTGCTTTTGGGTTAACCTGTCCTCTTCAGGGATGGCCCTGATGTTTGTGTCTTCAAGCCGGGAGACCTCTGTGCACACTAAGACCAGCACCTCTAACAGCAGTCGGGAACAAGAAAACAAGGAACCCAAATGACAGCCTCCCCTGCAGCACCACAGCAGCCAAAATAAAATGCCAAGAGCAATAGGAAAAATAGCCTAGGAAATATAGAAACAATTTCTTTGACAGCTAATTGCTCCACAGGGATGACATAAAGCCAACCTTCCTCTCCACAGCCCTGTTCTGCATTGCTGCTGTGGCCAGTAATGCCAAATCTGAGCAGTCAACTCCAGCTGGCAACAACAGCCATCTCCACCGGCCTGTGTTTTCCCAAATAAACACACTGCCTCTAAGAGGTAGTTGGTAATTGCACACACCTGTTTGTCTTCCATTTTTAAGGCTCGCACAGGAAGGCCTTCAGCGACAGAAAGCCCTTGTGGTATAATGGATTCACAAGGCTAATAAAAACACATTTTCAGCTTCATAGCTGACCCCAGCTGGAGTCAGCCCACCTTCCCAAAAGCACACACTGTAGTTTTCTAGTCCCTCTTGACTCACAGTCTCACAGCAGCATTGCAAAAACCCCGCCGATGTGCACTCCTGCTGCCAGCTATCATGGGTCAGGGCAGAACTGCGAAGGGTTTCACATTAGCACTGCTACAGGGCGCGGCTTGAGAATTTCTCTCAATGCAGGCTTACTCCCTTATCTCCATTCCTGTTTTATGTCTAAATCAGCTGTTTGTTCTGTTTTTATTACCATTGCCCCGCTACATCCCCTCAACCAATTAAGCTCCCATTCCTCTAATGTACACACTTCAATTACAGCAGGCAGCTCACCAAATATATACTGCTGCTTGCTCAAGGTTCATTTAATATGGGCATCTTAATTTCATCTGCCAAGCAAAGTTACAGGCTCTTCCTGAAGTTGCTTTCGCCAGAGAACATGAATGTAAGGAAGGACAAAACTACCACATTAACAGTCATATGTCTTTTTTAAGACTAGAGCACGCAGATGCATTTCAAGGGCCCATACACAAGCTGCATAATAAGCCAGAGCAATGCTCCTGCCTTTCTCAGCGCTAGGCCACTGAGCCATTTCTGAGAACAGGTACAGAGCCAGAAGCACCAGGAGGAGGAGGACATACGGCAAGTCATAAAGAATTGCTGCCAGTCAGCAACAATCAAAGGGGAACAAACACAATTTGTCTTTTGGGGGAGCCCACTATAGCTCTCTGTTGCTTTTAAAAGCAAAAATAACCACAGTCACTTGATACCTGATCACTGTAACTGAGCAGATACAAACCAGCACATTATGTAACCTGCCACCCACAAGCCACAAATGCCAACATAACAAAGCGGAGCATTTTCAGGTTTATCTCAAGGTTCCCAGCCTGAGTGCACAATGAGAGAGATAAAGCGTGCCAGAGACTTGTAAACACGTAACAAAATAGTGGGGTAACAGGAAAAGAAGTGATCCCCTCTGTCAGCACGGATATGATGCTCTGCTAGCTCAAGGTACCCACCTACCATCTCAAGGGTGTGCAGAAATGCCATTTTCATTTATTTATATGAGAGGAACGGGAAAAAGTAAAGACATCTCCGGGTTGTGCACGGGGGAAGCAGGAGATGCTTCAGTAATCCTATAACAATGTTGAGAGGCAATGCGTTCACCCACAGGAACATCCATACATATTTCTTGTCTGACTTCACACACTGTAAATGCATTCAGTGTGCTAATGAAATGCTCTGGCCAACACAAACCTAACGGAGATGGGCGAGGCGCACCACAGGAATGAAACCTTCTAGTCACCAAAAAAACGGGGGCAGAAAAGGCTGTATTAGCATCCGCTTGCCCACACCGTCCCTCCAAGTTTCCCTGGGAAGCTGTCTCCTGGGGTTGTGTAAAATCAATTTGTTACCAATTCTGTAAATATATATACTCAGCCTTTCCCGAGTACCTTAGTAAGACCATGCAACTGACAGCATGTCCTACGCAGAGATACTCCTGCAGCACCACTGGGTCCCAAAGCCAGCATCACCACTCTGCGCCCTACTGTCCTTCAAGGAGCGCCCTTGGTATGCTGCTTCCCGCTGCCGCACAACCTTTGCCCTCAATCGCACATGAGTACTTACAGGCCATTTAGGACCCGGTGTTGAGCTGCTGTGTTACAGCCAGAGACATCGACTGTAAACTCTTCTGGGCTGAGTCTGCCTTTCTTGCATGTGGTGGTGTACAAACCAGGCACGTCCTGCTTCAAGACCAGGCTCCTGGATGTTATGAAAGAAAAACAAATATAATTTGCCACCTTAGGGCCAAAGGGGTGTTTTGCGGGCTTTGATGGTGCTGTGCTCTGACCCGTGCACCTACATCGGCTTGCACTGACTTCCATGAGGTTCCACTCGTACCACAAGCAGGGCTTCAGTAGTTGTGGCCCTCAGCCTGCAAATAGGCAAAAGAGGCAGAGGCAGGAGCTGGGTAAGGCAAAAGGTACACACCCAGTTCAGACAGAAAGAGCTGGGTCAGCAGGCGGTGAAACTAGTGGGGAGCAGCCAGGGCTTAGAGTGAGACTCACAGCGAGCTGAGGAGCACTGCAGTTTGCAGGTGCTGTGTGTTTGCCCCAGGGACCCCATTCTGCTTGGGAGTGCCCACTGTAAGATTCAGCCCTCCTGGCTCTTCAGGAGGTGCGTGAGCTAGGTGGCTAGCAAGTCCTTGCAGTGCAAGTGTGTTGGACGGCCCACATCCCAGAGCAGATGCCTTAATGCCTCTCCAAGAACAGAGATGCTCAAGACTGGGGCCGCTTTAGCCAGGCCTCTCCTGAGATGCAAGGGAAGTCTCTAGCAGAGAGTCTTAACACAGACTCAAACCCCACAGTCCCACACTATCGCCACAAGGGCATATTTTCCTGTTGCGCAATTAGCCAACCCTTTTGTCTGGGATGCTAGTGAGAACGGCACTTACCTCAAAGTCCCAGCCAAACCCCAAAGTGAAGAGTTGCTGGAAAATGAGGAGGGCTATTTATCTCCTCATAAAATAAAGGTCAGCAAAGCTCTCCCTGCTTCAGCTATGCTATGATGAAAGAGTCTCTGAAACCATCTCCTTGCTCTGCAAGTAATACACAAATGCAGGCTGATGTTGTGGCAAAGCCCAGAAAGCCTGAGGCACCATGCAGACAAGCTGTCCAATGATCATCCTCTGCCTTACCCACCCCAATCTAATGACCGCTGCCTGAACCAGCAACAACCAGACCAGATGTTTCTCCTCCCATAAGGTACAGTGATCTTGATGGTGTATTAATAGATTGATAGAATTCTGTCAGTGGAGGTGTTTTATTCGCTCCTCAGTTCCAAAAACAGTAATGCCTTCAAGTATTTCCAATGTGCATGAGCAAGCAAAGCCAAAACACACATTACAACGGAAAGAGGTAGGAAGCCTGCCTGAAAGGTTTGTCCCATTATCGGGAAAACAATGTAAGTGTTGGGAGTGGCAAAGAACACACAACAGGGAGGCGAAACCTGGCAAAGAAAGAGACAGATACGTCATGTCGACTTACAGATAGCCTTGAAGGTAAGAAAAGACAGACTAAGCACAGAAGAGCAGGCTTCGCAGAGCAGTTATTCCTGGTTATATTGTCTCCTTTTCCTGTAGTTTATGGATGAGAGAGTGCACGCCCTGGAAGGCCGGAACAGTTCCAGGTTTCCTTCCCTTTGCTACCCTGCCACTGTTTTTTTCCCCAACAAACACAAAACATACACTCAAGCTACAGAGCTTCCCACACAGTGTAAGCAGGGCTTTTCCCGCCTGTTCACCTTGTCTTTCACCTCTCTTGTCCCTTCTACCTCTCTTTTATCCACTGTTAGGAAGCACAAGCTCCTTTCTTCACTGCACTTTGCAGCTCTATGCTTTTGAAGAGATGTGCACTGTCCCCAAAGCAGCATTTCCTTTGGTTACACCAGTGGGCACCACCAGCAGAAGCATAAATACCAAGCAGTCTGCACTTGTCAGCCATGGGGAAAACACCCAAGGCCTGTGAGCTTTTACGGAGTGTGGCACAGCACACTGAGCTTTCTCAGGACAGTTTTCTCTCACCAACCTCTTCAGCCTGAGTACTCATGCCTTCACTACTCACATGGCAAATTGAGGTCCTCTTCCCCTCGTATTAACTGCCAAAGCCCCAGAGAAGCAGCAACAAGATGATGGGCCAAAGGGTGAGCTACAAGGAATGGACGTGCAGTGCCCATGACTTGGCTTTTGTCATTACTCCAAGGTAGCCCTCTCTGTCAAGGATACAAACTACCACATCAGTCTTTTGGCTCCGTTTAGACCTGTGGAAATCATTTGCCCTGAGACAAGTACAAGGTAAGCAATCATACATAAGCATTTCTGTGGTGTTCATCGCTGTCTTGCCAGCATTCATTTGTAGGAATTAGTTACGTTTATTTACCAGTCTCCCAGGCTGCTGCAGCCATAAATTGCTGTTCACAGGGCGCTCAGGTGAGCTACAGGAGGAAGGTGCCATGCAGTGTTCCACTTCACACAAACTTGTTGCAAACACAACTGACAGAGGGGACCCGGGAAAAACCTCCACCTGTTAAAACAGGGCCAAGCCTGCAAGCCTGCTGTGACCAGCCTCTCCATCACATCCAGAGGGCTTAAGATTTCTGCTGTCTTTTGAAATATTTTCAGAGATAGACTTTCCTGTAGCACAAGAGACCACATTAAACCACCTCTAAGAGCATTCAGCTGGGCCAAGACCACACTGAGGAGGCTCTCCCTGACAAAGCTGTGGCCATCTCCAGTGGTTTGGCCAGGCAAAGTCCACTCCTGCAGTCCTGTGGTGCCAAAACTGACGGGCCACTGGCTCAGGCAGCCACCACTACTAATAGAAGTGGTTCCTCACAGGGAGTGGGAAATAAGACAGGGAGGGCAGAAGTTGTCTCCCCAACTACCTGGATCTACCCCAGCTCAGGAAATTGAGAGCAGGATGCTGGGCATTCCCCCCACCATTACAGCAGACCGGCCCAAGTCCCCCAGGTTTTTCCTCTCTTCCCACTGCTTCCCATGGGAAAGGCAGCCCGGACCTCTCCTAATGGCACCAGGGAGCATTTTGGCCTCCCCTCCCACCAGACTTGAAAAACATGCCACCTATTCCACAGAGGAGCACAGCTCAGCAGCTCCTGGGTGCTGGGGTGGAGGCCTCTGCTTTTCTGTGTGGTGGGCAGGGTGGACAGTGGGCTTCCCTCCCGTCTTGCACACCAGACCAGCCCTCCCCAAGGCAGCCAGGACTGCATGCCTGCCAAAGGCAAACACTGAGCACGCAGCATTCTTAAAGAGACTGCTGCTCTAGCAGGCACCTCTCCCTTGCAGGCATGACCATCCAGAGGCAATCTCAGCATTAAAAATTTGCATTAAACCCCATGCAAGGTAATCTATAGCTGTTTTAACAGTTCCTTTCATGGCTTTTGAAGCTTCATCAGTCTTCTTTTCCTCTCCTCCCTCCTCCCATTCACTCCTTCTCCATCCACCTGTTCCCAATGTGCTTTGCTTCCCTTTTACCCCTCTCATCCTGCCTTCATCCCTGCACCTCAGGTGACCGTTTCTGCAACCTGCGAAGACCCAAAGTGAGGGGAGCCAGGTACCTAGAGATGTTTGCAAGTCTTCTTGAGACAAAAAACCCTATCATTATTCCCATTTTAGACAACGGGGCCAGTGAGTTGCTCGCCGAGAGGTTACACGGGAAATCAGTGGCACAGAAGAGTGTGCATGCAGAGTCCTGGTCCAAGCCCTCTACCACAGCAGCAGCCTCCTCACCTGCTAGCCATCCCCCCTCACAGTTTATTCCTCCCAATATATTGCTTAGCATCACCTCTCTCATTTCCCACAGACCTTTCTCTGCTTCTTTGCTTCCACTTATCCTGCAATCAGAGCTCATTACTTCAGCTTGGACCACAGGATCGGGACCTTAAAGTGTCTCTGTTGGGCCAAACCACAATCTTGCAATCTCAGGCTGCCCGGAAATGGCGGGACATGACTTTTCTTCCAAGAAAAAACAATTGAAAATGTTGGTGTCCATACAAGCACACATTCCTACTCTGCATCTGAAAAGCAAACACTACAGCACAAAGAATCATAAAAGGGGAAATGAAACAACTGTACTGACTTCCACCACCCAGGCTCAAAAAATGCTGACAGCTGGGCATGAAGAATAGTACAAGAAAATAATTTGACTTTTAACAGTACAACAGTGAAAACAGAAGCCAGATGTTTGTCAAGCAAACATGAGTCCCCATTCTTTACCCTGTTACCCAAAGGCAGAAAGTCAGCAAGAATCAGTTCCCCTTCTTTTAGGCAGTTTTATCCATTTGAGCAAGACACAACAGGCAGGCAGTGTGTTGGGATAGACCTTTCACACAATTCCCTCCTCCATATTGAGTTGCTATTCATAATTAACCATACATGTATAGGTTGCTATGGAATATGGACTGTGTGAATGTCCATCAGACAGTCTCCTTAAGGTCACTTTTCCAAGAAGCTTTGTTTAAAAAAAAAAAAAAAGGTAGAAGGGAAGATTAGCTCAGAATTTCTCCAACCTTTATAGCCCAAGGGCTCTGAATCAAAGATCTGGCACAAGCATGCTGCTGTAAGAAAAAACTAAGACTGAGATCCCAAGCGACCCCATCACCATCCTGGGATATTAGCACCCAGCATCGGCTTGTCTCTTTCTATCACTCAGAGGCAGGATTTCGCCCTTCCTTCCCTGGGGGACCACAGTGGAGCCAAATGGCCTTTCTCAAAACCTCTTCCCCCCCCCAGGAATTTAACAGGACACAGCCTGCAAGTCAGGCATCCCAATAGGATCTGGGGAAGGTAGGGCCTGTCCCACCCCACAGCCTCAACCCAGGTGAGTTTCTCCACAGACCCCTGTGCGAAGAGGTCCTGGCAGATGGCCCTGCCGAGCTCTATCATCATCACATCCCTCAACCCCGAAAGGATGCCACAGATGGGCTCATGGGTAAGAGGGATGCCAAAATCATGACCTACAAGAGCTCTTCCATAGCTGGATCCTTCAGGCCCTGGGTCAAGTGGCTCTAGTCGTCTTATCTACCCTGTGTCTACCTGCTGTACATCAGCAAGCTCCAGGACAGACAGCACTGGGATTTCGGCTCCTCCCGAGCGCCGCAGCACCTGCGGTGCCCCACGCCGGGCCGGCCCCTGCGGCCAGCCCCTCGGGGAGGGGAGCGCTCGCCCTCCGCAGCCCCCTGGCCCGCCGCGG